CTATTGCAACCACCCAACTGCACTTCTGTCGAACAGGTGTGGGTGGAACTTTTCGTCCCTGGCTTCACATTATTCATCTGTGTCATTTACGTACCTCCTGACCGTATCATCATTGGCTTGGATTACCTCACGCATGTCTTTTGCAGACAAGATCCTCATCCTGGGTGATTTTAACATGCATTCTGTGAACTGGATTCAAAGTTCATCGGATTACCTGCATCCCGAGCTTGCGCACTCATCGATGAACCTAGTTCAAAATTAACTCCTGGATGATTATAGTACAGCGGGACTCATCCAGCTCAACTCTGTTCTGCAACTCCAACCATCGCTTGCTTGTTCTCTGTTTTGTTAGCCAAGATCTCAATCACGATACTACTGTTTCTGAAGCTCCAACCCCTCTTGTTAAGGAATGCCGCCATCATCCGTCTCTTCAATTGTTCATAAAGGAATGTGTTCCTTATGAATTCATCCCTGTCACCGAAGCCACTCGTTATACATTCAGAAAAACTGACTTCTCGACAATGAATCTATTTTTATCCTCTATCGGTTGGGATAACATGTTGCATGATTTGAGCGTCAAAACAACAGTTTAAGTCTTCACTTTCGTCGTAGCTTACGCCATAGACCACTTCACCCCACAAAATAGTGTGTAAAAATCCTGTGTACCCACCCTGGTCCAACAACCTTCTTAAGCGCCTGAAGTCGGTTAAAAGATCGGCTCTTAAAAAACTGTCCAAGAATCGTAACTCCTACATACGGTCGTTTGTACCTCGCCAGCCTCGAGATCAACAAACAACGTAATTCAACTTTACTCAACAGGGATCAAGGAAACGGACACACATGGCTTTTCAAGTTACTACCTAGGACACATCAACGAGTAAGCAGCGGAGTACCTGTTCCTACAGGAAATTAAATTTAAGTTTACCTAGTTTCTACGTGAAAATGTACTTGTGTTAATATATATTCGGTAAATGCGATGTTTTTCTTCAGTCGAGTATTAGTACAAGACACTGAAGAAGTCTGCACATTGTAGACGAAATACGCGTATCTGTCAAGGATAAGCAAATAAAGTAGTGGAATTAAATGGAAAACACTTATCCTTCTCTCTCTCATTATACAGGTAAGACGCCCACATACATCAGGGGTCAACCTAGTGCTCAAATGTTTTAAGCTCTCGTATGCCGATGACTTCAAACTCTACTTAACCTTTTTCCAAATGGTGCGCAACTAATCGTATTAGCTTGAATGCCAACAAATGCTCAGTAATTTCCTTTGGCCGTAAACGTTCTGTCATTATTGATTACGCCATTGCACAGTGGTCCAGAATGCAGATTTAGCTGGAATGATATGTTTTGAGCCTGAAATTGAAACTTTAGACTAAAAGTCTCTTCTACAAAGTTGTTCCTTATAGTTAGGCCCTCATTTTTATGACATTGAATTCTAGGGTGGTTCCTATTATCATTAAAATCAAAAATCTAACTTTTTTGTTTGAATAAATTAAGGTATACATTCTTCCGCAAAGTTATAGCTGAGCTAATTTCAAGCAACTGTGGTGAAAATAACTTTTTTGTATCTCTTAAATTGGCCAATTTAGAGCTATTTTCTTGAATTGAGTTAGGGTGGCTCTCAAAAAAACAGTTTTTTTGCTCTATTTTTCTTATTTCGAATTTCTCAGCAAAGGTGTCTTCAGATAACTTTTAGATCGCAAGAAGGCGCAAATTTTTGCTGCACAAAGCTTGTCAATATCTTTCGCCGATCAAGAGTTATTGATTTTTTTATACTAAAATTATGCACTTTTCAAATGTTAATATCTCTGGTTGGGGCAAACAAAAAAAAAGTTTTTTTGCAGCATTTGAAAGGGCGTATGTTATTCTCAATAATATGAAAAAATTGGAGGTATGTTATTTTTTTAACTCGTATAAAATCAATTTGAATTTATTCATATTTTTTACTATATTTGACTATATCTTTTTTATTAGAAGAGATACAGGCAACAAATTCAGCTATAAAACATTCGTCTTAAAGAGTTTTAAAAGTCTCTAGAAGATGACTTTCATGAGAAATTTCAAATAAAAAAGTTATTGGCAAAAGATGGATTTCATAGGACCACTCTAATGACAAATTTATATAAAATGTGCTAGTACATTTGTTTCAATATTTGGACATTTAGTGTCTTCGAAGAAGTTTTTGTTCTTAAAAATTCCCTTCTTTTGGTGTTTGCAGACGTCAGGGTGGTCCTCAAATTAAGGAATTTTTAAAACTAACTTTTTTGTTTTACAAAATATAAACATGTGTTGTTTGAAAAAGTTGTAGTTAAGTTACTTGCAAGCAACTTTGTCGAAGAAAATTTTTTTCTATCTCTTAAAGTTCTCATTTTAGAGTAATTTTTCGGAGTTGACTTAGGGTGTTCCTGGAAAAAATAGTTTTTTAGCAATAACTTTTTTATTTGAAAATTCTCATGAAAGTTATCTTGGAGAGCATTTTAAAACTCTTTAAGACGAATGTTTTATAGCTGAATTTGTTGCCTGTATCTCTTCTAATAAAAAAGATATAGTCAAATATAGTAAAAAATATGAATAAATTCAAATTGATTTTATACGAGTTTAAAAAATAACATACCTCCAATTTTTTCATATTATTGAGATTAACATACGCTCTTTCAAATGCTGCAAAAAAACTTTTTTTTTGTTTGCCCCAACCAGAGATATTAACATTTGAAAAGTGCATAATTTTAGTATAAAAAAATCAATAACTCTTGATCGGCGAAAGATATTGGCAAGCTTTGTGTAGCAAAAATTTGCGTCTTCTTAAGATCTAAAAGTTATCTGAAGACACCTTTGCTGAAAAATTCGAAATAAGAAAAACAGAGCAAAAAAACTGTTTTTTTAAGAGTCACCCTAACTCAATTCAAGAAAATAGCTCTAAATCGGCCAATTTAAGAGATACAAAAAAGTTATTTTCACCACAGTTGCTTGAAATTAGCTCAGCTATAACTTTGCCCAAGAATGTATACCTTAATTTATTCAAACAAAAAAGTTAGATTTTTGATTTTAATGATAATAGGAACCACCCTAGAATTCAATGTCATAAAAATGAGGGCCTAACTATAAGGAACAACTTTGTAGAAGAGACTTTTAGTCTAAAGTTTCAATTTCAGGCTCAAAACATATCATTCCAGCTAAATCTGCATTCTGTACCACTGTGCATTGCCGGAATATCTCTAAAGAGAGAATCTACTGTTAAGGATTTGGGTGTTCTATTAGATTCAAAACTTACTTTTAAAGATCATGTAGGATATATAACCTCCAAAGCTTCTAAATGCCAGGGCTTCATTTTTCGTGCTGCAAAAGAATTCTCGGATATTCACTGTTTGAAGACCCTGTATTGTTCTTTAGTTCGCTCTACATTGGAGTATGCAGTTGTGGTCTGGGGTCCTTACTATCAAAACAGCGTACAGCAAGTAGAAGCTATCCAACATAAGTTTATTCGCTTTGCTCTTCGACGTTTGCCTTGGAATGATCCATATAATCTCCCTAGATATGAAGATCGTTGTAAATTTATTGACCTTGACCTTCTGGAGGTTCGTTGTCGCTAAGGCTTGTTTCATATCTGATGTTGTTCAATCTCACATAGATTGTCCTACAGTGTTACGTGAGTTGAATTTTGATATTCGTCGACGTACTCTCCGTCCTCATCAGTTTATGCGTATATCGACATTCCGTACTAATTATGGCTATAATGAGCCTTTTAGTAGTATGTGTCGTGTGTTCAACCGTTGTTACCATGTCTTCGACTTTCATCTGTCACGTTCCATTAATAAAAATAGGTTCGGTGAAGGGCTCAGTTAGTAAATTATAGGTAGTAGTAAGAAATAGGTCGTATTTTGCTTAGTCTTAAGTTAATAATGTATCATTTTGAATGTACTGTTCTGTTGATGCGAAAAGATGAGGAGGTTTTATGCCCATTTGAGAAAAAAAGCTTTTATAAGCTCCACTCAAATGGGCTTTTCCCTACTCCCAATAATGAATAAAGAAAGAATAAAGAATAATCCACGGAGGAGCATACTTACCTAGGATGCCGATATACATCTCCGTATTCACTTTATCCCCTTCAGGAATGGTGAAAATATTATCACGCATACGGAATATGCTTCACATGATGATATCGGAGAATCATTCGGTGCATCCAACATAGACATTGTTAAGTTTGTAGAGCATCAAGATGTTAAACCAGATTGAATTATATAAGTAGATATATTATACCGACTCAAGCATGTATTATAAAACTACGGAATTTTCATGAAATGGAAGCCACTATAATGAAGTTGGAGTCACCATTTTGGATTTTCTAATGGCACCCGTAATTGATTATGTTTTACAAAATAATAGAGTTTCTAAAACATTTTCATTACTCGGAAGCACCTATTTCGATCGCAAGATCCTCCATGTTGAATTCCAAAATAGTGCTGGACAATGATTGATTTTTAACAATGATGAAAAGGTTGTGCTTACTCCTGACTAAATGTTCGTGATAAAACAAAACATATTCAAAAACGTACCTCTTAGGTCTGCATTGAAACCCAAACGTTCATTAACAAGCAACAAAATCACAGTTCATTCATTTCCTTCACACATCGTACCATTTCGCCATTCACCCCGGAAGAAAATTCAAAAATACTTATGACTTGCCAACCTCCCCGGTTAGATCGATTTGTTCCAAATCCGATCGCAGCACAATCGTCGTTTTGCTACACTTTTCATCCACGCCACATGCCACGAACGCCAAGACGAAACTGAATGATAAATGCATTCACCCAACTAGGGCCCAACGACGGTGGCTGCGGCATCGTCGGCTCGAAGAAGGTGTGGCCATTACTGATTCCAATTACCGACCTACCTCACAGACAAGCACGCGGGCGCGAGCCCGATGTCAGACCCTACAACAGAAGATAGACCGTTCAATTTCTTATTTCTCTCCATCTTCATTTTCTCTTCCAACAGCTGCGACCATCAGCATTGCTAATCTGTGCATTGGTGCTCACGACGGCGACTCAAGCAGTCGTCAATATCGAAGCCCAACGTCGTGAGGCACCGATTGCCGATACCTATGGACCACCACCCTCGTCTCCCGGTGACTCTTCATATGACCTGCCAGCACCAGTCTATGGAGCACCAGCCGTAGCACACTACCCGCCACCCCCACCGGACGTCCCGCCAGCAATCGTGCCACACAAGGAATACGGCGTCCCGGTGCAACACTTTGGACCCCCGAATATCAACATCGAATACGGGCCTCCACCTCAGGCTCCGAAACCTGTATACCATCCACCGAAGCCCGTTTACGGACCACCCCCGCACCCGCCAGCTCATTACCCTTCGTATCCACCGAAGAAGCAGTCGTCCTTCCTTGAATCACTGTTCTCGACTTTCGGATTTGGAGGTGAGGAGGAACACAATCACCATCGTCACCATCCCCAACAGCATCAGCCACAGCAGCATCAGCCCCAGCAGCATCAGCCCCAGCAGCATCAGCACTATCACCATGGACCTCCACCAAAACCAGTCTATGGGCCACCGGTACTTATCATTCCCCACTTTAATTCAATCAACATCCCTTGAATATCAACCATATTCCACAGAAACCATCCTACGGAGTTCCGTCATTCAACCAACCCGCCCCGAAACCTGTCTATGGGCCACCGAAACCCGCCTACGGTCCTCCGAAACCAGTTTACGGACCACCGGCACCAATTTTCACCGCTCAGCAATCTTTCGGTCATCACTCTTCGGCTCACGTGCCTCCAACTCCCCCAGAGATCAAATGCGACGGATGGAAACCGATTGCCGGTCCCGTCGGTCAAGGTCCACCGCCCAGCCACGTAGAAATTCACTCTCCAGATTCTTCCTATGGACCTCCACCCAGCGGTGACTTCCTCGGCGGACAACATCAAATCTCCGGTGGTGACATCGGTCTGCAGCTACCTCGCCTGGAACCTGGCCCATCTTTCAACAACGACCTGCACAGCGGACAGGAACTGCACAAGGGAAACAGCTTTGAGGTTTAGTTTCTCACGAGGTGTCTTATTAGTAACCATCATTAATCGATTCTTCCTCCACAGATTCATTCGAACTTCATTTCTGACTCTTATGGTGCTCCACCGCCAGACTCGTACGCCCCAGGTTCTTACAAGCCATCGTTCGTGCCAATGCCACAACCACCACAACCACCGAAACTCCAGTTCCCACCCTCTCCGGTTTACGCTGCTCCACAGCATCATCGCCCAGCATCGTACCAACACGGCCTTGCAATCTCCCATGGATCCGTCAGCGGTAATCTAAGACCCTGGTCCGGACCAGTGGCACCACCACGTCAACCTATTGCTTACCGTCCGCCAGTTCCGGCCGGTCTGATCGAATCCATCGGACATACAGTTGAACAGTTGGACAACTTTGGAAGCAAGCATCACTACAATGGCGATGTTTACCTACCACCACCAACCAGTGACATCCCAACTGCCCCGCACAGTCCCCAAGAGCTGTACACTCTCCCATCTGAACAACCACCGCAGCCATTCCTGACGCAGCACCAATTCCCGGAAGCTCTCGCTCAAGTTCAGCAACCTCGTAATCCCGATCTCAACGTGTTGCCCATTTCGAGCAGTGACTGCGGACATGGTCCAGAGCTATCCGGACACACCGGTGATCAGCAGACGGTTTACTTTGGATCTTCCGGAGCTCAGGCCTATACCAGCGAGGAATCCAACAGCATCGACTCTAGCTACGGTCCACCAGCTTCCGGAAACGTCGTCAGTGAGTACCGCACCGCACATCAATTGTCTGGTAGTGAATCCGTCTCCACAGCGGCCAGCCTTCCAGGTCTCAGCGGAGGTCTCGGTGGCCTGGAGCTTGTGTCCGCCCAAAAGTCACACAGTTTGACGATTCCGGTGCAAGGAAAGCTGGGATCCTACCAGCTGCAGTTCCAAGCTGCCAATCCGCTGGGCTCAGGTCACGGTGGATCCGGTGCTCCACACGAGCAAATCCTTTCCGAAGGACTGCTCCAATCGATTCTGTCTGCCATCGAGCAACCGCAGGGAAGCTTCCAGCACGAAGCATCCTCGTACGATCCGAACATCGACCACAGTGAGGTGTCCGTATTTCTCAAGAGCCCCGAAGGCCAGAAGACCCTGGCCGATCATCCCGGTTCGACGTCCGGTTCGTCAGTTCACAAGCGGTAGACGGCCATATGCCTTCCCGGGAAATAGTCAACGGGTTTGAGTTTGCGAGTTAGATTTTATAATTTCTAGAATGTTTCGTAGAATGTATAGCGATAGTTGTGTTTTGTAGAGATGAAAGGTACCATAATAGGCGAACTGTTCGGTGCGTACCGATAGCGGTTCGTATCGTCAATTTTAATTTATTTTCATCATCCCTTACCGTCAAGCGTCGGTCCGTGTGAATGAGCGAGTTTATGCGTCGAGTGGAAACAGGTGCTGCAAGTTGACATCCCCGGATCGCAGCACGGCGTGGCACAAATTATCAATTAAGAGTGCTGTAATCTCGTCACCATCTGTTGGGCGCGAAACCACCGGTGGCCAAATGAAGTTACCAAGATATGCTACTACTCTCGGGTGCGAGAAGTGGTACTGACGAACCCGTGTATGTGTGTGTATGTGGTGTAATGATGAATTGAGATGTTGAGATTGTGACCGTAGTAGTGACACGATTGCGTGGAAAAAAAAACAGTTGCAAACGTTGAAAAAATGCGGAGAGCAACTGCAAGAGGCACCAATTAGCAGCGTGAATGTCGAGAGAATACTGCATGAGTGATAATTAAGTATTTTAATTATGTCATTCAATGTGGAGCATGTGTATGATGCTTGAGAAGCACACACTATCCAAGATGTTGACGGGGGAGTTGAATGCAGTGCCAGAATGCGGATGTGAGCGTGAGTTAGATGATGAAAGTGGGTATTTATTATTTAAATGAAGAATAAATGAGTCAAATACATTGGTGGCATTCCCATGGCAGGAGTTGTAGCAATTAAAAGTGTATTATAAAAAAATATCACGGTATACTTATGTTCGGATTCAACAGCGAGATTGAAATTTTATGTAATAAATAAAAGTATTCAAAGAAGCTTCTACCTTTTTTCTGATACTGATGACATCCTAAAAAATAACTTTTTTTTTCCTTGATTTATTTTCCGTCGATCTTGTTTTCCGTGCTGAGCACCAGAGATGCCTGGTTTTTTTTTCAGAAGTCTGCGAAAAATGTCTGTGAATTTCAAAAATGTCTGTGAATTTCAAAAATGTCTGTGAGTTTCAAAAATGTCTGTAATTGGGCTGCATAAATTTTGCATAAGTTTTAAGTGTGATGAAAGGGGGGGAGGTGGGTCATGAAATAAATGCAAATTTTGAAATATCTGTAAAAGTCATATTCGAGCAAAAATGACATGATTTCATCTAATTGAATCTCATTGGAGTTGGGAATGCATCCATTTACACCGTATACGTTAAAAGCAATGAATAAAAAGATAAATTACAATTACACGACAAATGAGGTAAACTCAAAGTTGAGATTAGTTCAAACATATTCTTGAAAACATAGTTAACTCCTCGGTTAACTCATAGACTGAGTAAATTTCCCGAGTTTTTACAGGAATACGTTTTCTAATATGATCAACATCTCGATGTAATGTACATATGAAATAAGTACACAGAAAAAAAGTTTTCATGTAGTTTCTATTAGAAATGCACATAATATTTTTCCATTAACAAAACCAAAGATATTTATCTGAATATCGCATAACCTTCATGTGATCACATCCGTTCTATATGATAAATAACTTAAATTTAATTTGACGCATAAGGCTCATGTAATTTTGTGGTGAAATTCCCAATTATAATATCACATGAAAGTTATGTGAAATTCAAATAAATATTTTCTCAAATTCAGATGTGAGTTATTCTTTGAGTATTTACTTCTTAAGTGAGTAAATCTTTCATTGATTTTTATCATATTCGAAAAGATTTACGGCTCGGAAAATTTTACACAGTCTACAAGTAAACTACGTTTTCTAGAGTTTGGGTACATTAAACTTAAATTTGAGTTGATCTTATGTATCATGTAGTGTAGAAATCCGTTAGTTACTTAGTACTGCTCCTTTTGCACGCCAGCAGCGAAATGCATCGTGTGATACCTCAAATCACATGGAACTCAACATAATGATTAGTGCAAGTATTTAATGCTATTTATATTGATTTTCCTTAACTTATAGCTTACCTGATTCTTTGGAAAAATTCGTTATGAAGTCTTCTCTCGGGTTTCCTTTGACTTTTATCGCATTTTCCACATTTTTACGACTCTCATTCAGGCACAAAACGGCAAAAATTGCTGCTTCGTTCAGCACTAAAGCCAACCGGTGGAAAATAACGATTTAAAATTGGCTCACTACTTGACTAGCCTATTGTTCCCAAGCAAATCGATTAACGTACCCCATTCTAATCGAAATTCTAGTACTACATTATGTTTGTTTTGATTCGCTATGAAAGTTTGACAGATAAAATGAGGGGCTCGTTGATTTTCCTATGTTCCGAGGGGTGTATCGATTAGCTTGGGACCGAAGAGATTACCAGAGCTGAGCCAGAAAGTTGAGCAAGTTTCTTCGGGACCTTATAGTCTTAGAGTTACCTGTATGGTAAAACTGCATCCGGGGGTGGGTGTTCTTTAATAAAAAGATGGAATAGGATGGAAACACACTGTCTGTTTCATTCAAGGGGGACAAAAGCAATCTGCTTCACATTTCATATAACGGATTTCTATAAAATTTTCTTAAAAATTTCGATTTTTTAAGATAAATCGAGTCGTAATGAATAATAACAAGCACCTGCCGATATTATCCGATAACATACACTATTCATCGATAATCTTTTTTTTTTTTTTGTTCATTAATTTATTTGATAAGGCTCAACCGAATTAACTTTACAGAGCCGAGGATTCTTGGTCACTAAATATACAATACATCTTAAAACTATAGTCAAAAGGTACAACACAATAAACACTTTATCTTCCGCTATCCAAAAAGCCTCCTCCATCAGAAGTGGAGCCGCTTCCAGTGGTTTAATTGTATGGCAGTTACGCCATCGTGGGGCAAAGCGCTTCCATTGCAGCAATGGACGCAAAACGTGGTCAACACTCACACACTCATCACGAAACGGTTGCTTTCCAAAGTCGACGACGCATCGACCGAAAGAACTGCTGATGAAGAACAATGAGGAGGACCACACAATGGTTGCTGCCGAGAAAACAGACGATCGCATGGCACACATCGAGAGTGGCCTGCTTTTGTCGACAGCCGAGTGAACACTGTCATCGATAATCTTGGATGTGGTAGAATTATAGAACATTATGCTGATGTTGTTTTTAGTGTGTTTTGTGATGTGAACTGTCACTTTCTTGAGCACCTGGTATTATGATTGTTGCATGTTCAAACTCTGGAAGCAACGATATTTGCCCGGAGATTTGGCAACAGAATTGATGGTCAAACGTGACCAAGCCTTGACTCGACCAAACCCAAGACCAAACGATAGGTGCCATCGATGCTGATCTTCACAGGATGCCTGAGATTGGGGATGTCTGTTGAGGTAGTGTAGGAAATAAGTAATGACCTTGGAGATATCGGAGAATTCCCATTCGTGAAATATGCATTTCCGCACTTCCTATTATGCGTGTAATGCGCTATTCTATCACCTCAAAATTTCAATACCACAGCTGCCACAAAACAAACAATAATGAAACTGGAAATTCACATTTGATGCAGCAAACAGGGAGTTCCTATTTCATGAGTGATGTCACAACTGTGTCCGAAAATTGTGCTCTAGAACACTTGCCATCAATTTGTGGACTCTTCAAGGAATCACCATAAATGATTTTTGAACATACGATGTTTGAACAGATTTACAACAGACTTGACCAAACTGAAGCACGGTTATGCAAACCAATTCCACCATCGGATAGGAGATAATTTTCCCTAGCCGATGGTGGTGTTGATTTGACAAGGCGAGCTTCGATTTGCGAGAAAAGATCATTATAAGATTTGATTACAAAAGCTGATCCGCCTTTTTGAATTGTTGGTTGAGATTTTACGACGTTCCTTTCTAATAAATAAACGGCTGTCATCGTCACCTGTCATGATACTTATAGAGCTGTGACCCGATATAAGAGATGTGATCGATAAAAATCGATATTATTTGTTTTTATAGATTTAAGAACGATTGTAACGGATGAATCCGATTTAATGGATTTCTCCGACTATAAATCAATAAATCAAAATTTAGAGTAATTTTTGGCAAATTTTGAATAAATCTGGGACTTTTGTTCTCCTCGGTTTCATTCACTTTTTCAGTGACAGTGACTATAGACAGTCAAGTTATAGACCGGCCAACGTGAGTTGACGTAACAAAATTTATACCTGAAAAATGTTCTACGAATAACGAACGGATAAATAAGTTAGTTATTGTAATCAGTGCTGATAAAAATCATTTCTTCTACTCTCAAATCAATTGAAAATGAAGACAACCTTAACAGATTAACCAACTACCTGCACGAATTTGAATTTTGACATAGCAATATTATCTTGATCAAGGCAACCTCTGAACCCCATGCTGAATTTTTCGCTCTGGGATCGAACTTATTCAAAATAATCATTAGCAATAGCATCGAACAAGTTACACAATATCATAGGTGGTACGAATTCAAAACTATTAAAAGCAAGACGGATATCTGGAGGGCGCCGGTGGTGTAGTGGTAAGCGTGATTACCTCTCACCCCAGCAGGCCTGGGTTCAATCCCAGTCGGCGACGCCGGGATGTTCTGAGGCATAACATCTCTGATCACGCCTTCCTTCGGATGGGAAATAAAGCCGTTGGTCCCCGGGTCCAGGTGTAGGAGCTGCCTCTCTGGCGTCGGTAGCATTGGTGCTCAGCACGGAAATCAAGATCGAAGTTGCTTCATATTTTTTGTTCATTATTTTTATGTTCGTAAAATTAGGGTGGTCCATAAAATTGGAGAATTAAAAATGCAAACTTTTTTATTATTTGAGATAGATCAAAGCAGTTGTAGAACAATCAATTCGAAGTAGCTTTGTTGAAGACACAACGTTTTTATATCTTATAGTTCATGAGTTATGATTTTTTTCAACAAGCAGGTTAGGGTGGCCACTAAAATCGGGTTTGATGA